AGTTCATGTTGTAGGGATTAAATTCCTGTTGTAGGGTAGTAAGTTCATGTTGTAGGGTAGTAAGTTCATGTTGTAGGGTAGTAAGTTCATGTTGTAGGGTAGTAAGTTCATGTTGTAGGGTAGTAAGTTCATGTTGTAGGGTAGTAAGTTCATGTTGTAGGGTAGTAAGTTCATGTTGAAGGGTAGTAAGTTCATGTTGTAGGGTAGTAAGTTCATGTTGTAGGGTAGTAAGTTCATGGTGTAGGGTAGTAAGTTCATGTTGTAGGGATTAAGTTCATGTTGTCGGGTAGTAAGTTCATGTTGTAGGGTAGTAAGTTCATGTTGTAGGGTAGTAAGTTCATGTTGTAGGGATTAAATTCATGTTGTAGGGTAGTAAGTTCATGTTGTAGGGTAGTAAGTTCATGCTGAAGGGTAGTAAGTTCATGTTGTAGGGTAGTAAGTTCATGTTGTAGGGTAGTAAGTTCATGTTGTAGGGATTAAGTTCATGTTGTAGGGTAGTAAGTTCATGTTGTAGGGTAAGTTCATGTTGTAGGGATTAAGTGCATGTTGTAGGGTAGTAAGTTCATGTTGTAGGGTAGTAAGATCATGTTGTAGGGTAGTAAGTTCATGTTGTAGGGTAGTAAGTTCATGTTGTAGGGTACTAAGTTCATGTTGTAGGGATTAAATTCATGTTGTAGGGTAGTAAGTTCATGTAGTAGGGTAGTAAGTTCATGCTGAAGGGTAGTAAGTTCATGTTGTAGGGTAGTAAGTTCATGTTGTAGGGTAGTAAGTTCATGTTGAAGGGTAGTAAGTTCATGTTGTAGGGTAGTAAGTTCATGTTGTAGGGTAGTAAGTTCATGTTGTAGGGTAGTAAGTTCATGTTGTAGGGTAGTAAGTTCATGTTGTAAGGTAGTAAGTTCATGTTGTAGGGATTAAGTTCATGTTGTAGGGTAGTAAGTTCATGTTGTAGGGATTAAGTTCATGTTGTAGGGTAGTAAGTTCATGTTGTAGGGTAGTAAGTTCATGTTGTAGGGTAAGTTCATGTTGTAGGGATTAAGTTCATGTTGTAGGGTAGTAAGTTCATGTTGTAGGGATAGTAAGTTCATGTTGTAGGGTAGTAAGTTCATGTTGTAGGGTAGTAAGTTCATGTTGTAGGGTAAGTTCATGTTGTAGGGATTAAGTTCATGTTGTAGGGTAGTAAGTTCATGTTGTAGGGTAGTAAGTTCATGTTGTAGGGTAGTAAGATCATGTTGTAGGGTAGTAAGTTCATGTTGTAGGGATTAAATTCATGTTGTAGGGTAGTAAGTTCATGTTGTAGAGTAGTAAGTTCATGCTGAAGGGTAGTAAGTTCATGTTGTAGGGTAGTAAGTTCATGTTGTAGGGTAGTAAGTTCATGTTGAAGGGTAGTAAGTTCATGTTGTAGGGTAGTAAGTTCATGTTGTAGGGTAGTAAGTTCATGTTGTAGGGTAGTAAGTTCATGTTGTAGGGTAGTAAGTTCATGTTGTAAGGTAGTAAGTTCATGTTGTAGGGATTAAGTTCATGTTGTAGGGTAGTAAGTTCATGTTGTAGGGATTAAGTTCATGTTGTAGGGTAGTAAGTTCATGTTGTAGGGTAGTAAGTTCATGTTGTAGGGTAAGTTCATGTTGTAGGGATTAAGTTCATGTTGTAGGGTAGTAAGTTCATGTTGTAGGGTAGTAAGTTCATGTTGTAGGGTAGTAAGATCATGTTGTAGGGTAGTAAGTTCATGTTGTAGGGATTAAATTCATGTTGTAGGGTAGTAAGTTCATGTTGTAGGGTAGTAAGTTCATGCTGAAGGGTAGTAAGTTCATGTTGTAGGGTAGTAAGTTCATGTTGTAGGGTAGTAAGTTCATGTTGAAGGGTAGTAAGTTCATGTTGTAGGGTAGTAAGTTCATGTTGTAGGGTAGTAAGTTCATGTTGTAGGGTAGTAAGTTCATGTTGTAGGGTAGTAAGTTCATGTTAAAAGGTAGTAAGTTCATGTTTTAGGGATTAAGTTCATGTTGTAGGGTAGTAAGTTCATGTTGTAGGGATTAAGTTCATGTTGTAGGGTAGTAAGTTCATGTTGTAGGGTAGTAAGTTCATGTTGTAGGGTAGTAAGTTCATGTTGTAGGGATTAAGTTCATGTTGTAGGGTAGTAAGTTCATGTTGTAGGGTAGTAAGTTCATGTTGTAGGGTAGTAAGTTCATGTTGTAGGGTAGTAAGTTCATGTTGTAGGGTAGTAAGTTCATGTTGTAGGGTAGTAAGTTCATGTTGTAGGGTTGTAAGTTCATGTTGTAGGGCTGTAATTTCAAGCCTATTTCTTCGGTGACACTGTACACACAAGGATATCGTTTGCATACTGCATGAGATATTGCTCTACCCAGTGCACTGGTAACTCCTGCTGTGTACACACTGAAGAGAACCGGCGATAGAAGTGATCCCTGAGGCAGACTTATTAGGACTAGATAAGATTGCAATGCCAATAAACATCACTGAGAAGACAAGGGTATTTAGGAGTATTTCCTTCAATGTCGGTGTGCATTTGCCTGATAAAGGAGGAACAAGCAGTGTGCGTACAAATAAGACATGTGTAAAACGGATGTGCATGCAGAAATCTCAACTACTGAAACAGTAGCAAGTCCAGAAGTGTCCACCAGAGTTCCTAGCCGGTGAACACCAAGGCTGACTGACTGACTTTCTACCCCACCAGTACATCACACAAGCGATAAACACCCGATGACACAACGTGCCACCATGTGGATGAGGATCACCGTGAAGAGGTCCCAGAAACCGTGTTCAGACAATTGGCCATATTTATGGCCTGCCTATATTGCGGCCCCTGGCAAAAGCCAGAGTGGGGATTCAAATAACAAGAAATTACGTCCTGAAAAGGACGTAAGGGATATATTTAACACGAAGGAAAAAAAAAGACAAAAGATGGTAACTTAGAAAGGGGGACGACTAATAAATTTAACTGCTATAGAAAACGCTTTGTTATCGCCCTTTACATCAGAACCAAGCAAAACCGTTTACCTTTACTTGATTGGCATGTGGACCACCCAATTCACTCCCGCCCTTACTCGTTCGAGAGCCGCCTAGGCAAAAAAACTGCCCTTTTTAGGGCAGTTTACGATCCCCTCCCTAAAACACAGATACACAACAGGAAACAGTATCACCTGACAAAGAAACTGGAAAAAAACAAGCGTCTCCATTAATAGCAAATAAATTACGCCAAGATAAAGTCGCGGCTCATTCTAGGAGCTGACTGAAATTGGCAAGAATTTTTTTTAATTATTTTTTTTACGATATCCAAATCCATATTCTGATTCGCATGTTTATCAGCGGCAGCAATGAGAGGCGAAGAATATGAACACAGTATCCGAGCACGAATGTCATGAGAGGCAACCAATAATGGTCGGTTTGAGGCTGGCTGGCTACCTCATTCGGCGAAAACTTTAGGTACAAAATTCAATCACTCATGAACAAGTTGATAAATGGTTTGATCTGAGCAGTTGGGAGTTTTGCCCTTATAGCAATGGTTTTCACTGAGGGAAGGGGAGAAAAAGGCAGCATGGAGCTCTAGCAAGGAAGTTTCAAGCACGGCATCAAGCAATAATAATTTGTTATACTGACATTTATTTTCAGTTTAATTGTGAATAAAAATATTCAATCATTTCATTTAACAAATTCTTAACAAATTTGTTTAACAGCTAATCTGTGATATTTACATATTTCAACCGAATACATTCAATTTTTCAAATCCTTAGTTCATCACTCTTTATGATATGCTTGTCAAAGTGCAGTGGGCAGTGGTTCTATTCCTCCCCCCGGCCCACTCCCTTTCCCCCCAAAGGAGCCCCTGAACCTTAGAGAAGACCCACTCAATCGGGGCTTCTTTTTCTGGAGTTCCGCAATGGTACACAGTACTGGCTCTGTAAGAGAGACTTGAGACTTTGTGGTGAGTTAAGGTTAGTTGCGTATCCCTTACAGGACGTTGCAGAACAAACCCTAACAGCTCCTGGCTGTTGTGTGATTTTTCTAGGCAAATTTACGTCCAATAGTTTGCCATTGCTTTCTTGATACCATTGTCGAAACCAACACAAGGCGTTTGGCCCGCAGCTGGGATCGAACCCGGCATTACGAAGCGTTCGCATCGACTTAGCCACAGAGCCGACTTTGTGGTGAGTACTGGCACCTTCTTTCCTTTAAAAAAAAAACCTGCACTCAATACAAAAGACTGCTATGTACGTACCACAACATCAAAGCATAAGGAAGGTAAAGTGGTGCAGTGGCTAACAAGCTGGGATACCAGTCCAGCGATCAAGAGTTTTAATTTGAATCAAGGCAGGAATAAAAACAGCAATAATTACATGAACAGATAAAGTGTTACCCTTTCTTTGGAGGAAACAAGGCAGGCAGGGAGGGATCATGCTGCATGGGTAGCACGTAGTCTATACAATACTGGCCAGGCTTTGTGTTCCCAACATTTCAACGAGGTAACCGAAGAAGGGGGAGGACGAAAAGAAGATGAAGAAGAAGATGATATATAAAAAAAAAAAGATGATGATGATAAAGAAAAAACAAAGGGATAATAAATAAGATGATAAAGACAATAAAGATGATAATGATAAGAACAATAATGAAGCCGATAATGATGACAGTAAAGAAGATGATGATGATGATGATGATGATGACAATGATGATAAAAAAAGAAGATAATGATGATCACAAGGAAAAAGATGATGATGACAATAAAGATGATGATCATGATAAAGAAGAAGATGACAATGATGATTTAAAAAAAAAACAGAAGATAATGATGATCACATAGAAGAAGATGAAGAAGATGATGAAAACGAAGAAGAAATAATGATAAAGAAGAAATTATGAGATAAAAAAGACGATGATGATAAAAATGATGATGATGATAAAGATGAATGTCCTTAAGGAGTATGTTTAGGCCACGAGATAGTTCGGAGTCTGAGCACTGAGAAAACACACTACAAGGATTAGAACCTACTTACTCTAGGCTTATATCTGAGGCTGCCACTTCTTCGGAGAGTGCCAGTTCTTGCTGCATCCTCTGGTAGGTCAGTACTTGTGCCATCACGGTTGGGTCTCACACTCAGCTCAATCAGCTCCAGAATAGGCTGGACTTTCAATATCAGGCTGTCTGCAGACTGCTTGATGATTTCTGCTATATCTTCTCGACTTTTTGTTTCTACATTCTGTCCATTGACCTGAATGAAAGCAGAAGTGAATTCATCAACATCATTTGCCGTGCTGAAAAGTGTAGGCTGCCTTGTTTTGCCATCTCATATGATCACCAGCAATCACAGATCAGGTATAATTTTCCCCCACCCATACAGCTGAATTAGTTGTGTATCTTTTACAGGATGTTGCAGAACCAACCCCCAGAATTATTGTTTTTGTTTATAGTCTTTTTTACATTCAGTAGTTTGCCACTGCTCTAGAAAAGGTCAGCTCTGAGTACCACTGTTGAAACCAACGCAAAACAAACTGTCTGCAGCTGGGACTGAACCCGGCACCCCAGCATTACGGAGCGCATTCGCAACGCCTAAGCGACAGATGTTGACATATATGCTATACACATATATGCTGATAATTTTTGCTGCCTGTTCACTCCGATGAAATAATCTGCTTGTTCGTCCACTTCTGGACTTTGGTCTTGTTTCAGAACTTGAGTTGTGTGTACATCCGTTTTACAGATCTAGCTTATCTGAATGAAGACCACTGGTTCCTCACCTCTCAGGCAGATGCACTTCGACTTAGAAGGAAACATCATAAATAGTCACCTTTAAGAACACCTTTTAGAACACCTTTCAGCTTGTTTAGGGATAGTGGGTTTACCCCCCCCCCCCCCCCCCCCCCCCCCCCCCCCCCCCCCCCCATTAAGCCCCCATAATCTTCACAGGAAAAATGTATGTAATCACTGAAATAGCTTGCGTATTTTTAGAAAATTGCAAATGTCTGAGAGGTAAAAACTATTTACACAAGAGAGCTGAATGGTCGTATACCACGAGGCAGACCAAGAAGACAATGGAGAGATAACACCCAGACAAACCTGCAAACACTCAGTGTCACCAACTGGGAAGAGAAGGCCAACCAGAGAGATGAATGGAGGCAGATGATATCTGCAGTAATGAACCTCAATGGCTCGGAATGCTGAAGAAGAAGAGGAAGAAGAAGAAGAAGAGGAATCCTGCCAGTCCTTACCAAGTTCTTAAGATAATTTCTTCTCATGTTTTAAAAACACAGGCTGCCTACGTCTAATTTCTATAATTAGTTAAGTTTTCATCTGTTCCAAGAATAACTGCCTTGTTTCTAAAGTGAAGTAAGGAGCTGAAAATATTGACATCAGTGTGTGATATTACATTCCAAATATCAAAGGTGAAACAACATGAACAGCATCATTTCTTGTAAACTAGATATCTTTAGCCAATTTAACCCTTTTACCCTGCGAAAAAATGCTAAAAAAATGGGAATTACTCGGAAATTTTTTTTTTTTTAAATTCTTCTGTTTCTTTTCCTATGGGGAGCCGCCATGGTCTAGCGGCTAGATGCTCAACTGTGTTCGGATCCAGACAGGGGCTCGCAGGTCGGCATAGCCTTGAGTGGGTAGCAGGTACAGTTCTGGGAAACAGACGGCCAGTGTGGTGCTGACCATATCACCCATCCAGTGCCATTTGGTCTTTAAAATATAGGTCCAGCTCTATATACCAAATACGTCTGAAGGTGTGGAAGAGGTCCTTTACTTTTACTTACTTATTCTTCTTCATTCATCTGAGTGACATAGCTGTATTCTGCCTAATTACAGCATAGCTGTGATATTTCCACCTTTCCACTAACACATCTGACTTCATCGGGCATTTGTTTACTGTGTTAGCCTTCCAAGTTAGTTTCGTGGGACACAATGTAGCCATGCAATTCTGCCCTGGAGTTAACAGGGATCTGCAATGTCACAGGTGCTCTTCAATGTGTACTCCAATAAAATATGCAGATCTTGAAGCAGCTGGTGCTAAAAGGATTAAAGCATTTGCAGATGATGTTCTCGCACTTACACAGCGGAGCAACAACAAGACAGAAGGTGGGAGGAGGAAAAACTGAAAAAATGTTTCAAAAACAAGCACACATACAATAAACAGTTGATTCAATCTCACCTCAATTAACCTGTCTCCAGGTAAGAGTCCAATCCTAACACTGTTTGGTCCATTTCCAGGTTCGGCAAAGGTGATCACTTTGGGAGGTCCATCGCCTTGTTGTGGAATCACACTTTTACGCAGACTAAACCCAAACCCACCAGACTGCAGCCGGTGCACCTGCACTTCTCGGATTCTAGGCGGCTTTGGAGGAATGATGGCTGGCAATGGAAGATTTGACAGATTCTTGTCCTCCTCATTCACATCATCATCTTTTGGTACAGAATCTGTGGCAGATGACTGTACTTCAGAAGTTGTTAACAGACTAGACATATGTTTCATATGCTGTTTTTCTATGGAAACATCCAGAGATTTAATTTGTTGTGTTGATGCTGCAGCTATCCCTGTGTCTAATGTCTGATTCATCAGTATTTCTTTATTCCTTCTGGTGTTCTCTTGCAGTAGCTTGGAATCATCGAGATTCACTGTTTCATGCTGGTGCTGTACTTCATTCTTCCCCTTCAGGATGCTCTTGACTGCCGATGGTGGCAGTGCCTTTTTTGCGTCACTGACACTTCCCTGATAACCAGGTAAAGATCGACAATCGGCCAGAGGTCTGTCTTCCTTGGACATGTTCGATGGTGCTAATGTTGCTTCACCAGCTGCTTCATTTTCTGGCAAACTCGCAGAATGAAACGTTTTAAATGACCATCGTTTCTTGTCTTTATCGCTAAATCTTCTTAAAAGCCCTTTCTTCATTTCCTCAAGCCTAGAGATCTCTTCCACTGTCATATTTTGTCTCTCTTTTTTCACCCTTTCCTTTCTTTCATCTTTCTCTCTTTTCTTCTTCTCATTCTTCTCCTTCTTTTCTTTGTCCTTCTCTTTATCTTTTTTCATGAAACTAAACATAATTCTGCTTTCTGTTTGGCCACAGGATCAGGCTTTCTTGAGGAGACACAGTGTCTGAGATTCAATGTAACCGTCCACACTGCAACAGAAAATTAAACAGAAATTTTAATAAACAGAATTCAGTCAACTGTAATAAGCATATGATTGAATAATACCAAGTCTGATGTCTAAAATAAAAAATAAAAATGTCAACTCAAGTAGGCAAGTAATTATGCTATAAAATACATAGGCAAGTAATTATGCTATAAAATACATAGGCAAGTAATTATGCTTTAAATTCAATCTGTTCATGACTGCGTCAGGCACCCAGAGTAGTGACCCCATAGAAGTTGCGCAATTATAAAGCTTCCTACTCCACTCCTTCACTGCTGGACTGAGAGGCATGCATCACTATATTGCACTTCTATTCACTGCAGAATCTGTTAAAGTTTCACCCTTTCACTGTTCAAAAACAGATAACTGAACCCTATTCCTCTTTGGTGCATGTCAAAGTGAGGAAGCCATCTTTAAATAGCATAATATCCTGTTTGTCTGAATTATGATGTCATCTGTGTTTGTCTGAATTATGATGTCATGTGCTTAACACTCCTCACATCCTAAACAACAATACTGATAGGTTACAAGAAACTGGCATGGTTATCATAATTTCTATCACACTTTTAAGTTTTTCCTGTGATGCCCCCTTGGATTATGATATGACACTTTGATATGACGACTTCTTCTTCAGTGATCTCTGGTCATGTGCTTAATCAACTGTCGGTCATAAATTGACACACTGTCATTAAGGTGTCTGTCTGTGTTGATTCCTACCTACTTAATAACGGCTGTCACACTGAGTTTCTAAGTATAGCTTTTTCCCCCCAGTTTGCTCTCTAGATTCTAGACAGTAGCAGTCCTCCTGCTGATGAGTTCTGTCTCTCCTGAACTTGAACTCTTTCAGTCCCGGAGATGGTGGTGGGTTAGCATCAGAGGCCAAAGGTGTAGTAAACAGAGATGTAAAATTGGCGCAGCTTGCGTTCATTGGGCTTCTAGATAGGAATGTATGAACATATGATGCTTTCCTTAGGACTGAAAGAGTTAATAATGCAAACAATCTTATTTCTCTGGGGACACACAACTAAATTCACCTAAGATAATCAACTGCTAAGACAGTGAATGTAATTATGTCAAGTAGTCAGACTGAGGTAAACATGCTATAATATTCGCTTGCGCATTAACAGGATATATAACTAAAGCAAGAATGGTAATCATGGAATCCCACAACTGATTTGTTTCCACACAACGGTGTTATCAGACTGTAGGAACAATACACTAGGGAATTTGTGGAGGTCAAAAGAAATAAAAAGAAATACTTAACTAAAAATGTTTAATTCTAATGTCAAATCAGTATTATTGTATGGGGCGGAAACATGGAGAACAACTAAGACTAATAAATTACAGACATTCATTAACTGGTGCCTGCGCAGAATAGAGGGAATTAAATGGTATGATAGAATAACTAATGTAGAACTTTGGGAGAGAACTAAACAGGCTCCAGTGGACCAAGAGGTGAGGAAAAGACGCTGGCGTTGGATAGGACACACACTGAGAAAACAGGAGAACAGCATAACTAGAATGTCTTTGCATTGGAACCCACAGGGGCATAGGAATAAAGGAAGGCCAAAAAACACATGGAGAAGAGAGCTGGAGAACGAAGTTAGAAAGATGGGGAGGACATGGGGAGAGCTCCATGCAATGGCGGATAGAATGACTTGGCGTGAGTTGGTTGAGGGCCTATGCTCCATTGGGGGATAGAAAGGCAGAAGAAAAAGGAACAATACATGCAGCAAATTCATTGAGAAACAGAAAATCAAATGGTTTGGTCATTTAGTAAGAATGCAGCCAGAACAACTACCAATGCAGGCGCTACACATGAAAAGATCTGCAGTAAAAGCAAGAGGTCACACTAGGAGAAGATGGACTGATGACATTAAAGAGCTTCTACATCAACACGGAATGCCAATAGCCAAAGTTGCCCATCAAGCAATGGATCGCAATCTGTTCCTCCTCATAATGCATAATGGCATAAGTGGAAACTGATGATGAGGATGATGATGAGCGTTATATTGGGCTATGCAGAGGAATGGGATTCACAGCCCATGGTGAGTGTGACTAGCAAGACCCGCCTGTATTAAGAAAAGTCTTCCACAGTTAGAACAATGGATTTCAGGACCGTTGTTGACATCACAGGTATTTAGTGCTCCATCTCAGACACTCAGCTTTTATCCTTTCTGCAGTCAGTTTTCCCTTTATTCTCATTCCCTTCCTGATTTGCCCCCTAATTGCAACACATGGCATTTTGTCCCCACTCGTCCACCTCAATACATGCATCATTCATTTCCCGCTTGCACACATCTTTATATATCATTGTAGAGGCCAGCCTCGATATGTTCTACGGATCAGTAATTTACCACAGTGTATATCCTTAGAGACTCTACCAACCTCCAGGTGTAACCCCATGCGAGTGGTAAACATACTGTCTTCCTCCTTGGTGTAGCAGTTTCATATAACCTGTCTCAGAAAGCTGCTCAAAATAAGATAAGACCCCTCAAATTTGGTTCTTGATAGGGCAAACCTGCCTAGCATCCCTACGATACTGAAGAATTTTCAGCTGCTTTGGGCTGGTCACCTAACCCGCAGGCAAGACTATTGCCTCCTGAAGAGAGTATTTATGGCAAGATCCAGCAAGGGAGGAAGTCCCAGGGAGGACAGAGAAAGGATACTGAAGACTGCTCTTAATTCTTTTGGCATCAACACAGCGACATGGGAGGCTGCTGCACAGGACCGTTCTGGATGGCATATATCCTTCAGGCATGGTGCATCAGCCTGTTAGTCAACGGAGGTTGCACAGGCAGAGAAAGAATCATACTGCTAATCCCACACTTACTGCGGCTTCCATCTGTTGTCCACACTGCTCAAGAAATTTCCTGGTTCATACTGGACTAATCAGCCACCTTCACACTCATAATCATTGATCATTACTACTTTGGATGAAAGTGGTCTTCATCACTCGTGATGGACGAACAACAGCAGTTGCACCTGGGTGAACTGTCGACTGATTCACTGGGCAGTGAGCCGAGAGTCTGGACAATTTAACATACAGAAAAGATAGGCAGACTTTAATAGGTGCTTTGCTGGGAGGGGGAATCATCATGTATAACCAACATCCCTGAAGGGGGAGCTTTAGGTTATAACTGTGACTAGGTTATGTGTGCCCTATAAAATAGCTTAGCACTGCACGCCACCAAAAGCTGTGAAAAGGACTTGCTGTCTTTATGCGATCAAAGGAAACAGACCAGACCTAATTACTGTCCCAGCCAGCAACTAAGTTGTCTACCGACAAGCCAATGGTCAAACCGGTCGCCAATGTGCCTCACTGTATGGGTCCAGTACCCCCATTTTAAAGGCGAAAAAAGAATAGATCCAGGTTAACAAGCATGTCCTAAAAGACAATTAATTGAGGGTTTGATGAAGTTAGATGTGTTGGGTCTAAAGGTGCAGATATCACAGCCAAGCTGTTAACAACAACAAAACATGCAAACCACTTTTTTAAGGGCAAATAAAGATTTGTTCAGAACCCAAGAAACCTATATCCATTACTCAACCAATGCATTCCCCATTACTAAAATGTTTTACCAAATACCTCTGTTCTGTTTTGCCATTTTATGTCATATAGAACAATGTATATTCCTTGGTCATGTGATGAGAAGGAGAAAACTGGAGTACTTCATCACAGTAGGAAAGTTGGAGGTAGAGGCAGAGAAAGACAGACAGAAAAGATGCTGGACAGTTTGACATCATGGCATGGAGGATCATCTGTGTCAGAGTTGAGTGAAAGTACTTGAGACAGAAGGCTGCGGATAGTCATAACTACCAACGTCACAAGGTATGGACTTTAAGAAGAAGAAGAACTACACTGTGGGGGAAAACAAGAACAGACCGACTGCATATCCAAAAGTATGTCGTAAGAGTCGACTAATTTGAAGCTTCTTTCAAAGTCGAAGTGTATCTGCCTGAGAGGCAAGGAACCAATAGTCTGCATACAAATAAATCAAATCTGTAACAGATGTGCAGGCAACACTCAGGTTCTGGAACAGAACTACAGTCTAGAAGTGGAAAAACAATCAGAACAGCTCCTCTCAACCTCTGCGTTGTGACCCTTTTGTGGGTCAAATGACCCATATTCACTGAAGTTATGAAGTAGCAACGCAAATAATTGTATCGTGGGGGGTCGCCACAACATGAGGAACTGTATTAAAGGGGTTGCGGCAATAGCAAGGTTGAGAACTACTGCTCGAGCAGGAAAATAATACTCCCCACCCCTGGTGTAGAGCACCGACTGCGAGTAGCTTATGACAGCTGTTTCACGCCATTCAACAAAAATGTGTATCAAAGTGACCTTCACTAGTGATGCATAAACATTCCCAATGTGACGATCATTCTGGTTTCACCTGTTTCTAGATCATTCTGGTCATGCTTCAGTGAACCGATTTTAAAATATCAATGAATACATCAGTCAAGGGCTACATAAAATCTACCTGTGCTGTTTTCACACAGCTGTCTCTTCTAAAGTCTGAGGGCACTAGATCACAAACACAGGTGAAGTCAAGTAAAGGACCCGGCTACCCTCCGAAAAATGGTCCTAAATTATCGAGGCAGAAAATATACCCTAACAGGGCCTCAGTCACATGTCAACTGCGCACTTCAGGGGACTATAACGCCACCGCCGAATTGCGAACTTCCTGCAACTTCTGCCATCGCCGAGAGTATCCCCCACGCCGCTCACAAGAAAATAAAATGATGGAAGCTGCAGGAGATGCTGTAGCTGCTGCTCCTGAGTCCCAGCCATCTAGTTTAGCCCCAATCCACGTCGCGTGAGCGGCGTGTGTGATACTCTCGGCGGTGGCGGGAGTAGCTGGAAGAGGGGAATTTAAGACTACGGAAGTGTGCAATTGACACGT